CCCTTTCATAAATTTATAAAGCAATTAGTACTGAGCTTTAATCTTTGATCTTTAATTTTTAATGTAAATATTTCAACCTTATTGTCTGTTTAAATCTTTTAAATTCTTTACCTATTTTAGTCTATGAGTAATGCACGTTTGTATTTCAGCTCCATATACCGGGTGTTCAAATTAAAGTGTTACAGTTAAATACCGCTGAAAATATGCATTTTAGAAAAAAAAAGTTTCAGACAAAAGTTTTATAGTTTTTTGGGGGAAACATTTTGGCTAAATTCATTTTTTATAGCTGATCATAATATGGCCATATCGAGGTGAACTTTGTTTTTTTAAATGGGAATCCCATTTTTTTCTTACATATTCTTAAAGTACATTAAAAAAATAAGAAACTTTTGAGGGAAATATTTTTTTTATTGGACTTTTACTTTTTGAGTAACAGCTACTTGAAAATGTTGCTGCGCGAAAAAAAAGTTAGCCATATTATGGTTAGCTATGAAAAACGATTTTAGCCAAAAGTTTTTCCCCACAAAACTATAAAACTTTCGTCTGAAACGGTTTTTTTTTATAAAAGGCGGTATATAGCTGTAACGCTTTAAGTTGAACACCCGGTATATTTCACTACATTTTAATTATAATTTAACATTGTAATTTATTTCTCAAATGGGCTTGCCCGTAAATAAATAAATAAAAATAATAAAGTCTAATGTCAACTTATCTCCTCAATTTCCATATCTCCATTTGAGGCTACCAGAGTCCTTTTGACTTCATATCAAAATGTTGTGGGGCAAACCACATTAATAAAACCTAGGGCCCCAATAATAATCGTTTTTCTCTGTACCAAGAAAACCTCTTACAATATTTATAATTACGTAATGAACATTCTTCATGAACCCTTCTTTTTTTTGTAAAAGCTATAAAAACTTGTAACTGTAGATAGTCATCGAAGGTAAGTAGCAGTAAATAAATTTTCAATGCACGTCATCCACAAGAACTATAAAAAACAAAGTTGTTATGAATAATGAAAAGTTAATATTTAATATGATGACTTGGTTAAACATTGGGGGAATTTAAATAAAGAAAAACAAGATCCATCTCATTTTATTTATTAGGATATTTGGAAATGTACATAGAGAATTTTTTTAAATTTCAAAAACAGGAGCTGTCAGATCTAATACTAGCAACTTTTTAAATGGAAATAACTCACAATAGAGAACAAAAGCAATTCTTATAATATATTTACACATTTACAGGACTAATTTGGCAAACCCATAGGATGTATAAAACAGAAAATTGAGAAAAATCGCTTATTCTATCACTATGTCACAATTACTTAACATATCACGTAAGTAGATCGGCTTTTATACTATTATATACAGGTACTACAGATTGCATTATATTTACATTAGATTTTTTTTTTATTTTCAGAGTTTCGTTCAGACTTAATATTAATTTCTTATCGATGACTGCAGCAAAGATGTTAAAATTAAATGTTTAAAAATAGAACAGCATTGAAGTTAAATGGTCATAATGAAAGTATTATCTTCCTTATATCACAAAAAAACATATACGAAAAGGAAGCACTAAAATATGTTTTCTTTATAGGAAACTTCGTATTTTTCCAAAAAATCGCCAGCGCAATTTCACGTAAAGGTCAAAAATGTGATTAGTTAGGAGCTGTGCTTCATTCTAAAAGTTAATAAAGTAAAGAAAGTTGGATTTTTCTGCAATAACTCGTTCTATACTGATTTAAAAATGAAAGGTAAATCAATTCTCGTAAAAAAGGTTATAATCATGTCCTTAGAGTAACAGTTTCTGAGTAATAGTTCCGTAAATATAAAACATTGCCCACTTGCGTCAATTTTGAGTTAACACACGAAATAAGTGTAAAAAGTACATAAAATTGAAATACAACACCTTCACTTAATGTATTATATGCAAAATTTAAGCCACAGTAAATTATGTTAGTTTCTTCATGTAAACATACACAGTTATGTTCTCGAAACGCCACCTTTTCTTTTTATAAATTATAGTTGTCACGAATCTATAAGGTATTAGGCATAACACCAGCATAATTTTAACAGGTGATTAAGCAGACAAAATGAAGCAAATAAGTCTATAATCGTGTCTTGGATATATGGGATCATCATAAAGTGAGGGGTATATTTTGAAGTCATATAATTTTAAGAAATCAAGCTAATAACAAAAAGTAAATGGGATATAAGTTACTCCAATAATTATATTTCACTGTCTCTATGAAAACAAAAGAGCTGTTGTATCAACAGCTGATACAAATGTCAAACAATCATCACGATTTAGAGATATAAGCAGACAATTTAAAAATTCGTGGTTTCCAAGATCGCCTGATCTTAACCTAGCGGATTACTATAAATATGCAATAACCAATATTGTTTCGAACAATTTATTTGCATTTTCCCTACATTTTATCAATATATTTGGAAAGGGACATTTTGTTTAATCATCTGATTATAAATAAAAACAAAATTTGTGTATGGCTGCTGTGTGTGTAAAAGGATTTAAGTCAAAAAATTGACAAACTAAAAATTAAATCCATCAATTACAAAAAAAAAAGAAGCGATGAAGTAATAAAGTGGAGGAGACTGCTATAGATTTTCCTCTCTTCAGACATGCTGAAGGGATCTAGGGTCTGAACTGGAAGAAATTATGGTAAGTATCCGAGAGGAATTTGCCTATTGTTATGAGAAAAACTCGGCAATAGTTAATAATTTACCAAAGTAACTTTGATCAAATAATGCAGAATGTTGCTAGTGTGCATGGAAAATTTTTCATCTTTGTGCATATACTGTTGAAAACCATTATCGAGGAGTAAAACACTAAGGTCAAAACGTACTTGTATTTCAGAAATCACCAAAAATTTGTAGGATTTCGGCAATTTCGCCGAAGACATATAGTTTCCAATGAACAATTATTATCATTGTACCATATCTAAATTTTCTCCGGAGAACATATAAATTTTCTAAAGGAATATTCAAAAGACCTTTTTCTGTTCTTCACTTGTTTTTCCATCAACCTATTTTGCTTTCCACTTGTTTTTTTTTTAGATTGACTTGTTTTTGCTCTTCGCTTGTTTTTTGATCCACCATCTGCTGCGTTTATATTTCGGCGGAAAAAATTAATTTCAAAGTGATTTTGTGATGATACCGAGATTTCCGTAGTGATTTCGAGAGAATTTGTAGCAATTTCGGTAATTTCGAGTGAAAACCTGCTTTCGGTACGCTTCAGTTTTTTTACGTGCAGTAAAATGGCTGAAATTCAGAATTGCATGTAAAAAATTACTTCACTTTCATACATTGTCACATGTTTGTCATTGTCATTGTAAAAGCTTTGGACAGTTGCTGAATATTGTAAACCAAAACATCGATAAAAACGAATTATTGCAGTAGCACAGCTCTAAACTAAACAAATTTTAAATTTATTTTGACCTCGACTTACTATCTTTTGGAAGCAGTCAGGTCTTTTTTTTAATTGTAAATTTTTAACATATTTGGTGCAGAATAAGTTTTGTACACAGTCCCAAATTATTTTTAGGTAGCTCAGGTATAATTTTTGTCTTTACAGGTTGGGAATGAAAAATTAAAGCTAACCTGGAAAATTTTATATATCTATTATGCTCATGTATTTTGGTTATACAGATCCATAATTGCGTTATTTCAACCATAATTATTGTATTAATTACGAAATTTTTTAAGCATAATCATATTAGGCCTGATGCTGCAGAAACGTCAGTGAGTACAGGGTTTAAATGTCAATTAGTTATAAGTGTTACTCGAAAGCTTTGCAGTATTTAATGTGATTTTTGTATATTTTAATAAAGTAATGAAAGTGAAAATTATATCACTGGTACAACTGTCGAATAAAGGAAGCTGCCAATATAACTTTTGAATTGATTCCAGAAAAATCGGAAAAGAACAATTGTAAAATGGCTCTTAATAATGAGAGTATATCGTCTCGGACCTTTTATATTAATAACTTCATATTTTCTCATTAAATAATATATTATAATTTCTTATTTTTACAATTAATCAAGAAATGTTTATGAAACAAGTCAAATCAAAAATATTCTTAGAAGTCCTCTCAGAATTGCGTTTTAATTAATTTTGTTATAATTTTTCAACCTCATCCTAACACTGAAAATACAGTCATTATGGTACTGTTATCAATTTTATCAAATATTCGTTATCATAGACAGAACTATTATATTTACTTCATGAATATATTACAGTGTGTTTATATAAGTTGACAACACATGTATTTTTGTTTATTATGGAAAATAAATTTTGAATCAAATAAACTTTTCCATTTATTTTTATTTTTAAATAGTTTTTTTGGCAATAGATCCTACAATTTTTTCGATGTTTCCCAAAATACTCAACTTTTACCCATTTAATCGTCTTTGTATCTGTTACAGTTTAGAATATAACAATGAAAAAAGAAACGGGTTTTATACAGGTCAAAAATAGAAAAATATTAAAATGTATCCTAGAGTAAACTATTTTTTATTTTATAATATATATTTTAGATTAATTTTTATTTCTAATCAACTTTACTTAACATGTTTCGACACTGTCAAAAATAAAAGTGCACCCTATTTATATTTTCTGATTAACCTCGTATGACTGATAAATTTTGATGTCTGATGGGTTACATGGGTTGCAATTTTTTATAAATTATAATTTTTTCATAATAAAAATCCATATGTAGCACCACTTAAGTAGACACACTACATAATATATTTGTCCTGTCAAAAATGTTAAAACACCTTACGGATATTTTTTTACTGAAATTTAATTTAAATTATAAAATAAAAATGTGTCCATTTAAAAATAACAAAAAATAAATTAAATAACAATTACTCAAAAACGATATTTGAACTTAAATTATTTTTCGAATACCAACCATCAAAGACAAAACATTCGTAATTCTATTTCACAAAAAAACTTTTATGAAGAAATAACGTCCTGCTTTTAGCCATTTAAACTTTGACTCTTCATGCTCTGTATTATTTCTCGCCTAGCTTTTTTCTTTCTGCAATCAGGGCAGAACCACTGCCCTTTAGGTGGCACCATAATACCTACGCATTCAAAATGAAACCACTCGATGGCACAATCTGACGCATCGCAGCCTATCATCTCTGAAACCTGAAATAAAAAAAGTTTTTAAATTAAAAACGCAATCGTAAATAATCTATTTTTTTCTGTCACTTTCAAATTCATTTAATTTTCTAAACACCAAATATTTGATCACCGCTGATATATAATTTGCGATGTTTCCGATCGAATATATTTCTCTTATTTATTTTGGTCAGGGTTTTCCCAAGGATGGGCTTTGACATATTTATTTTATTTCACTGGACAATTATTAACAAGCAATATATGTATTTATTTTACCTGTTTGCCTTATAATTGCGGTTATTTAACCATGTATAAAACCTCATTTGACCCTTTACAGCACCTGGAATTTCTTTGCTGCAATAATACAATTAAAGACTGTTATTATTGCCTTCTTAAATTTAAGACAAGAACATTGTAAAGCTTGAAATATTCCGTATCTTCACCTGGTGCTACCCGTGTCCTTTTGATGCCGAATTACCAAATTAATAAAGGAATATATTTTTTTTATGTGATATAAAATTTCTAAAGCAAGATTAATTACATAACATCTATTTCATTTTTTTATAGTTTTTGAAAGTTTTTGAGTAAAAAATAATGAAAAGTTTTCGAGTTTCTAGTATTAAAATAAATCTTGTTCGTTTCCTGCTCGCTCTAAGGAATTCGCTCCTTCATGTCGGTCGTCAATTACTGGCATCGTTGTCACATATAAAACTAGAGAAGCTATGGAGTGTAAAGAAAAAGAGGACAAGTGGATAATTGGGTATGTATTAAAAAAAACTATAAAATCTATTAATTTCTTTTAAATGTTCTAGAAAGTTATAGAATAGGCTGAACAACGTTAAAGTCTTTGAAACCCAAAAAACAAGTAATCAACATAGTGACATGGTTGCGATAAAAATAGGAGTAGGAAACAGTCCTGGGGTCCGATATTATTTATGGTTTACATTAATTCGTTATTTTATTTGAGGGTGTAACAATTTCTTATGCAGATGACACAGTTCTATTATTTGAAAGCAACACATGGCATTCTGTTAGTTATCAAAGGGATGAGAATTCACTAATATTTAAAATTACAATTTTACCTCATCATAAGGGCATTGACAGTAACAATACAGCTGCGGCTGAGCATGTTTTGGTGTTATGGAAGGTTCCTCAGAGCTAGAATCATTTGAATCACTAGCACTATCGCCATCTCCTGGTCCTCGACTCAACAATCTTATCGGCGGTATGGAAGGTTTGGGTCTTCGTCGCGCCACCCTGAAGTCACTGAGATGGGTTCCTGTTCTAATCGAAATCGGTTCAATGGGGGGCTGCACTGGTGGTGGAGGAGTTGGAGGTGGCTGTGTTTTTATAGTTATCGGTGGAACTACTTGAGGAGAGCGAGGAGGCTGAGGAGCCTGAAAATAAAAGTATTAAATTGGAACTACTCGAAAATGAGCTTGTTATCTTTACCTCTGTTTTCTTCCATTTGGGACCAGGTCGGTCCTGATCTTCGTCACTTGAGTACCCATAAAATTTATTTGGCACCCTCCTACGTTTTGACGCCCTCAAATTGGATTCTATGGAATCCTGTCTACTGAATGTAGGTTCAGTTTGTACTTTATGATAAGCCGAAGTTACAAGTGGTGCAGAAATTGATGCAGGACTAGATATTGGACTATTCCTAGAAATTGTCAATGTAATAGGTGCAACAGATTGAGGCTGAATTTGTTGCTAAAAACAAAAGTAATAATTAGTTTGGTAAAAAATGGTAGGCTTCAAAAATAATTCCAGAAAAAATCGTAATTAGAGTAATTGTCAATGTTAAAGATATGTTTAACTGTTATTTTATTGGAGTTGTTTCATATAGTTTTGAAGACAAAAATAATAATAAAAATAATAAGTAATAAAAAGTAAGAAAAGTCCAGTCCTTTTGAATTAATAAAATATAATTGAAACCAAGAACAAGACGGTTTTTACTTTACATTGGTTCTTGGGTCCTTCAAGATAAACTAGAGTTACACAAAAAAATATCTTCGAAACAGCAAAATTGTAATCCTGGCAAAATCGTGACAAAAAAAGGGTCAAGATACTGGACAAGCAGATGCGGGAGAGACGATAGGCCTGACCAAGAAGTAGGAAGAACAGAATCCGTAATTTCCAAAGAAAAAAAGACAAAATTATTTAATGTCATTGAATGACTGAATAGTAACTAAGATAAATTGAACACTACGCCTTCAAGATTAGAAATTAGAAATACGATTGGAAATGGCTAAGAAAATGGAAGCTGAAGAAAAATTATTAAGAGAAAATCGATTTCAAAGAAAAAAGAAATAGTGGTGAGAAAAGTTAATATTATTAAATTTGAAAATTGGCCTTCTATGATGAGAAGACTAGTGCTTAAAAAGGAAGAAAAAGCCTATATGCTACCAATGGAGAAATAGAATTGTCCATTAGGATAATGATGCAACAATAGTTAAGAGTAATAGATGTGAAGACTAATGACGGAGTTTTTTTTAGTAATTACTGCGGGGAATTATAAGATCCAATGTCTTGACCTGACTTTGGTCATTTTCTTATTAAGCTAAAATGGACTTAGGCGCCATAATAATTTTAATACATCTTAAAAGATAGATATATACTCAAAAATAGTTCAAACTGCCAATAACTCAAGATTGCGGTTACTATACTTCATTTGTACAATAAGAGAATGTTATTATATTGAAAATGCACGAGAATGTTTACTGGTTTTGAGGACGATTATCACCAAACATTTCTGGTAATTAACTCTCTCTTATAATAAGGTATACCAAGGTGCAAAAAATTAATTTTAGAAGTTCAAAATACCTGTTGATGGAACTGCTGATAATATGGAGGAATTGGAATATCAGGAGTAATAATGTTATTTACTTCTGGCTCTCTAACATCCAATGTTTTCCTTTCGCTTTTCTTTTTCTTCTTCTTCTTGGATTTTGATTTTTTCTTTTTCCTTTCCTCCGGCTGCTCTACTTCCACAGGCGGAGTCGGCGGTCTACTAGTACTTTCAATAAAAGTCCCATTTGGTATACTGTTCGGTCCCATAAGTTCTAACAACTGTTGACGTTTCTCCTCGAGGATTTTTTTCGCCAGTTTTTGGGGCGCTTCGTCGTAAAATTCTTCGTCGGTTTCACTTTCCGTTGTTTCGAGATCAGATTCTCTTATTGGTGTTTCAATAACAACTGGATCTGCTGTTGTCACCACATCAACTTTGTTTTCTACAAATATTGATTTTCTTTTAGTTCAATTTTAAAATACATATAAAAAGTTTCATTACCAGGGTAATATAATTAATTTGTACCTATAATTTTTGGATGTACTGCTATTGATTAATAATAACAAATATTCTATACTTACTCTTTTCTTGAGCTTCTTTTATTTTTTTTGCTCTTTCCTTCCGCTTTTGTTTTTTGGCCAGTTGTCTCTTTTTTCCCTCTTCTGATGAACTATCTGAACTCGAACTTGATGAAGAACTTGAACTACCTGAGCTTGAACTACAACTGCAATTGGAACCACACGAACAACTCGATGAGTTTGAATCACTACTGCTACTAGACGAGGTACGAACTTTCTTTTCTTCCTTTTTATTATTCTTTACGATGTCTGCGGGTAATTCAGTAGATGGTTTCTCTTCTTCTTCATCTAAAAAAAATATTTTACTCACTTTAATAATTTTCCATATTATTGTTGCTTTTATTTCTGTAGTTTTTACATTATGCGTTTTAAATAATAATTTTTGAAATCAGAAGTAGAAACAAACTGAACTGTTATAAATTGCAATCATTATCAAAAATAAAATTTTAGTTAAGAAGTAGTAATATAATCGCCAAAGAAGGCGATTTAGAAGCTGTTTTGCTTTTTTGACATCTGATTAAATTTAATATTCAGAATTCCATTAAACTTTTTATCCAGTGTCTCCCTGTAAAAGATTAGTGTGAAATTTTCTCTAAAATAAATCAAACAAAAGTCACTTAAGCGTTATTAAATATTCAAGTTTATTTGTTAATATTAGAGAAATTTGTTGACATAGCCCAAATACAAAGAATGTTTGAAAATATATTAAAAATAGCTTTAGAATGGGAAATTACTCAAACACTGTTGCCATTTAAAAATAATCATCAAAATGGCGCCTAATATTCAGTTTAATAAGCTTTTTTCTGGCATTACATAAAGTTAGAAAATCTTTTGTGAATATTAATAGTAGTAAATATATCATCTAGAAATTTGTCAACAATAGTAGATTAGAATAACAATAATAAGATAATTAAAATGAATACCTTTTGGTTTTGAGAAACAGTAATCGTGATCGACACTTTCCTGAAGAGCTGGTTTAACCTCAACCAAAGTTGTATCTATAGCCTTTTGTTCAGGATTTACACAATAATCATGATCTTGTAAAATTACATTTACATTGGGCTCTTCCTCGACTTGTGGTACTTGCATATTTGAACCATCTGGTCTGTCTTGGTCAACAAACATGTTATCCAACTTCTGCTGTTGTTCTTGATAAGTCTTGAAATTATCCCAGATGTTTTGCATGACTGCATTGGTACCATCTTCACCGGGCACTTCACCAGCTGATTTAAGTTCTTGAAGTATATCCATAGGTGGTAAGTCTCCTGGACGTTCTAATTCGGTTTCTGGATTTAAACAAGAATCTTTTGATTTTTCTGATCCATCTTTAAGTTTCTTAGTTTCTTCAGTTTCCGATTCACTACTACTATCACTTTCTGAAAGGTTGAGTGCAGGTAAATCTTCTAACACATCTATTTTTTGTTTAGGTTTTTCTTCGACTTTTTCTTCTTGTTTAACTGGTTCTGGATCATTTTCTTCTCTCTATAAATATCAAAATATTTAAATCGTAAAATATTAGGAATCAAAATTTAATTCCCAATAAATATATGTGCCTAGCTTTATTCATCTCTATAGTTCTTGTAATAGTCCAGGATCCGTAAGTAGGGTCGACCTTCACCCATCTGTTTAATGGATAAAAGTTTTTTTTTATTAGATAAAATATGTTTTTAAATATACCGCAAATGGGTTACCTAAGAAAATACGGTCACGGCCATTTTTTACTTTTCTTTCTGTATACAGATAAGGAAAGTATAGAAATCATGATAAAAGTTACTTATAATGTTATTCTCTATTATTTTGTTCCTATACATGATTTCCCTAAAATGGACCTAATTCGAGATATTTGAGGAAAAATGGAAATTTCGAATTTTGAAGACAACTCAAAAACGGATAAGGAGAAAAACACCAAATTTTAAACTTAAGCTTTAATCTATCCTGCGGTGAGCTGATTTAAGTTTGGGCATAGTCTAAGCATCTGGGGAAGACTTTACAGGGTGTCGTTTTTTTTTATTTTAAGAAAATAAATAGTCTGGACCGTATTTTCTTAGGCAACCCTTTTGCAGTATATTTTTAAACATATTTTATTTAATAAAAAGAAACTTTCATCCATTAAACAGATGGGTGAAGGTCGACCTTACTTCGGATCTTAGACTATAAACTGAAAAGTAACACAATGTAGAAATAACTAAACAGAAATAAGTGGAAGCAGTTAGAAGTATGGTTTGAATTTCTTCTTATTATGTTTAAGGTATCATGTTATAACAGTGATTTTTTTATGGTGGGTCCTACATGTTTCATACATGCAGTTTCATAAAAGTCATGGTTTAATGCTATAATAGCTCAAAATTTTTACCTTCGTAAATAATTCCATTTCATAAATATTATTTTGTTTAGTAGAATCAAGCTAGGTCGTTTCATAAAAATGTACTGCAGTACTACAGTATTTACTGTTACTATTATAAAAATGTATTTACTAAAGCACTTTATCATAGATTTTAAAACATTTCAAAATTCTAATGATCTTTAAAATTTATTGTGGGTTTTCTTCTAAATATTAATTATATTAATTCATTTTAAAAGTGGTAGATACTGACTTTCTAACTTTTCTGTACCAGCTTTAAATTAAACCTAACGCCCATAACAGTTGAAAATAATAAAATAATTTCTGTTAAAACATAAGTACTTATATGAAAGAACAAAAAATATAAATTCACAATGCCAAATAGATAATTATTTTACTGTCTGAAACAGTGCTTAACAAAATGGTTGTAGAAATTTCTTGCTTTCTTCTAAATTTTTGTTTATAAACTAATAAAATAATTATCAATTGACCTAATATAGTAGGACACAAGACATTATAGGAGTCTTTAGGATACAATGAGTATGTATAGATTAAACTTTCTATTAAATTAAATTTACCTCCTTTTTGACTTCTTCGAATTTCGTTTCTGGTTCTTCAATTGTAGGCTCCTCTACTGGCTCCAAATGCCTCTTGTAATGTTTCTCTAATAACTTTTTGGATATAAATTTTTCCTCACATTCCTCGAATGTGCAAGCATGCTTCTTTTCATCACTATGAAGTCTTTTGTGAACCTTAAGGGATACCGCTCTAGTAAACATTAACGAACACTCATCACAAACAAAACTAATTGGGGGAACGCAAAAGTGGTAAACATGAGGCCACTTTTTCTGTAAACACTTCTTGCACAATACACTTTCAGTTCCATGTTTCCAGAAAAGATGTCTTGTAATGTCTGGTTTGTTTCTATAAGCTATGCCACATCTATAGCAAAAATGATGTAACTTATGTTTCCAAACATGATTTGACAATCTGTGTTGGGTATCACAGGTCTCTAAACAAACGTCACACACATTGTGCTTTTTCCGAAGATGCACCATCAAACGAAAAGAACTAGGCAAATCATCATGTACACACATGCAACACCTAAATTGTAATTCATAGTCTAAAACATATACACCAGGACACAAGTGACAAATAAGTTCACTGTAACTATAAAAGTTTGATTTACACATAATACACAATAAGAGGTTCTTAGAATGATATTTCCGATTGTGTAGATACAGTTCTTTATGTACAGTGGTACTAAAGTGACACTGAAAACATTCAAATTGATGCGAAAATGTTACTGCTTCATTGCTGACACTAGAATCCAAATTGAAGAAAACCGATGATAACTCATTCAGGCTTTCATTGATCCTGTAATAAAACAAAATCATTTATAATCCAAGAATACATTATTTCCAAAGAAAGATCAATGTATAAAGATTATTAATAAAGATGAACAATAAAGATAATCAGCAATAAAGATTATCATCAATAAAAATTATCATCAATAAAGATTATCATCAGTAAAAATTATCATCAATAAATATTATCATAACAAGAAAAATACATTTTTGATTATGATATCATATTATAGTACACTGATATTTTGTTTGTCTTAAAATATTTATACAAGCTATTATTTCCTTGAAAATTTTACCCATTATTTTATATCAGGAAAATGCAAAATATTTTATAATTTGGGTTTTACTATAGGAGATTTATAACTTTTTAAAATCAAAATATTATGGGAACAATTTTAAAGATATAAACAATCTAATAAAATGCAACCAAATAGTAAATGTTTATAGAAAATATTTAGCAACTTTCTGTCAAAATAATAACTATTTAAAGAAAAAAATATTTCGAGTGAATTACCTATTGACAAAATTTTCTGGTATTAACTCTTCGGCAGTTATACTGTTTACCACAGCTGAAAATCTATGTTCTGCTATGCAATGTAATCCCAACTGTCTACCATTCACAGCAATTTTTCTAGCATGATTACAATATATACATGTTGGAATAGTCATTTTAAGACATTTTTGAAGTAAACTTTGAGGATCAAACTTATCCAGGGGCTGTTCAAGCTGTAATTCAATAATTGAAATATCTGTACCAGCAATCTGAAATTGAGCTTCTTTTTTAGGAGGTTCTTCTAATTCTTCTTCTTGTTTAATGATTTCTGGTTCTTGATCAGGATTAATTGCACTGGTATCAATTTCATTATCATTTTCATATTCACTTTCTATTTGATCTATTTCCATTGTTAATTTGTCACTGTCATCACTATCTTCTGCTTCAGCATCAGCATCATCATAAGATTCAAGTTTAGGTAGTTTAAGGGACAATTTTGGGACCTTCCTAGTATCTTGAAATTCATCACTAAATTGTTTCTCGATAGTCTCTTCCAGGGTTGGAAAAAACCTAAGAATTAAAAATATAATAGTAGGTTTTTAGGTGATTTAGATTTTTGTGGTTTCTAAGGGATTTAAAGGTTTTTTTAAGGTTATTAGTTATCTCAAAAATTATTATTAATAAAGTTAACCAAAAAATATAAGCATAACTTGAAAAATATAATTTTATAAAGTATATTAAAAAATCACATTCTGGAAACAAATAAAAAAAACAAAAAGTCAAAAATAAATAAATGCTATTTTTTGTCACTATCACTAATATCAAGAAGTTCCAGTAATAACCAGGTGCAAATCCACAGGTGGGGGAGGTGAAGGTTCTCCCAAAAAAAAAAATATTAAAAAAATAATTAAAACTGTGCAAAGAGCAAATATAAAAACATAGGGGGCTGTAGAACCAAAGGCAGCAACCTCCATTTTTTGCGTAAATGAGTTAAACACCTGGATATATAGCTTTAAACACAGAAAAGCGATTACAATAAAAACCGCCAACATACAGTCAGATCGGGTAACTTTGGACCTGGTTTTTATTATAAATCTGAATTTATTTGTTATTTTTGCACAATTATATTGAATGATGCACCTACTGGTGTTCCTGTAAAATGATCTATATGCATTTTAAATTAAAAAAAAAAAAATTAAAATTTATTATAAAAAAAATATATATATTTTTGGGTGTGGTCCTTCAAGACACCTAACAGGAACAGAAAATTAATAATATAGAGATATGTTTAAAAAATATACTTTAATAATTAAACTTAGGGCTAAATTCATAATAAAATTAAAGGAAACTTCAATATTAAAAGGACACTTTAAATGTTATATCGATTTTATAATACAAATTTATTCAAAAAGTAACATTAAAGCTTCATTCAACTAAATACCCGTTTCTGTTCCTTTATAAGCTTTAAAGCATGCTTTTTCTGATGAAATTTGATAGTTTGTCCTTCTTATTGAGAATTTTTGATGACATAGTGCCAGTTTTTTGTTTTAATTTGATGTGAACAAGTATTAAAAGTAATTTTAAAAAACCGACTTCAAAATCGTGCAGATGCCATCACCACATCTTGACCAAATTTTTATGGGACCACCCCTGAGGTACCCCCTTACTAACAAAAAATAATCATAGAAATTGAACAAGGTGGTAAAAATTACCGCTAAACATACATAAAAAATGAAGAGTTTGAGGATTTTTTCATGGACCCAATTATTAGATTTTTACCAAATTTATATGGGACCACCCCTGAAATACCCCCTTTTTAACAAAAAAATAATTATTGAAATCGAACACCATGTTAAAGAATTATCACTGAACAAACAAAAAATACGAATTGAGAACCTCCTCCTTTTTTGAAGTCGATTAATAAATAAATAATATAACTTTATTTTTAAATTGTTGAATTTTGATTTTAACTGTTCTGGCCACTTGATTTATAGCATTGAAACATAATCAGTAAATTCCAAGCTCTATTTTGAAAAAGAATTTCATAATTATCATGATAAAAATAGTATTCTAGCTATACCAACCTTTTTAACATTGTTTATATTATCTGTTGTTTTAAATTCCAAAATATTTTTATATTTTTCAAAACAAGCACTAAAAAAATACTATAAAAAATACTGAAACAATTTTAAATAAATTTCAAAATACAACTTAACTGAAGCACAGTCCTTAAATAATCGATTTTTATTTTTCACAGAGAAACCCTTACCATACTATAATTTCGGAAATCCCAAACAAAAATTTAAAATAGATTAAAGGCAGTGATTTGTAATTAGATATAGGTACTCTAAGGTTCCTCCTTTCAAATAAAAGGGTTCTTAGAATAGTTAATATGATTACCCATAGCATTACCCTGTGTTCTAGACTACAGGTATTAATTCCTAGAATAATTAAATTTCAAATCCTTCAATTACTTTTTAAGTTACTTTGGAAAAACCTAAAGAGCTTACAGATTATCTATCATTTTACAAATATCATGTAGAATAAACAAGATTTATACTTTAAATTAAAGTATAAAACATTTTTAAATCCAAAACATTTCATAACAAAAACTAAAAAAATTGTGGTTAATACTATAAAGTAACACATTCTAACAGCTTATAACTCAAGAATGGAAAAAGATATCGACGTGTAGTTTCCGCTTAACTGCTTACATTTGTTTCAAGTTTTTGTTGACATAGTTGCCAAATGTATTTTTTTTCCGAAATTGCCGGAAAAAAATGGTATTTTTTACATTGTTGATTAATAAATTTGAGTGTGTTCGTTCTTTATCTACTTCACATAAATTATTTGACATTTTCTTAACGTCAGTTATATTTTTTTCAAAGCCAAAATATCACAGATGTTGGCTCATTAACTTACAATCTCTTAATTTATATTTAAAGGTATTAAATGAGGCGACATTTCTGAGTTCTAGGAGTAATTCATTAAAAGCTTGAAACCCCTTAAAAAATACTGAATTTTGGCACTGTTTACTTGCAAATGGCAAAATATGAAAATTAGATCTATTTCTTGTGTTATAGTTATGATAGTCAAAATTGTAATTAATTTTATCAAATGACTCTTATGATTTTATGAAATGACAAGTTTTAAATGAGACTTTAAAGTGAACTATAAATAGAAGCTTCTTTGTTCAAATCCGTCTTCAAGGTTCGATAATGAAATTAGCCCTTAGTTGCAAATTGCAAAGCTTTTATGTATTTTTTTTTTGTAAGCACTAATAAAAATATATTTTCATTAATAAATGAATGTTTTTTTTACCCTCCTAAATAAGATCCAATTCGGGAACTCGTTCGGGAATTTACAAGAAAAATAAAAAAATGTATTTTGTCACCATACTATTTATTACAGTATATGGCTGTGATGAGGCTGAAGCTAGCAGACAAACTAGCAGACAAATCGCGCGGCGGTCCCCAAATGTTTTGATGTTGTTATTCGGCAAAATCTTTGGTTTAGGTGGACTTTAGTATCATGAAAGTTTAGAAATAAATAAATATTAGTGTATTTATTGAAAAAAATGGATTAATTCAATTTGAATTATTAATTAAAATAAGATAATCTTACACAAAGACGGGGAAGAAACAAACACATTTACAATGCGATTATAAATATAATTTTTATACCAAATATTCATTAAGTTTTTGTTAATTGAATATACAAAAAATTATGGCCGAACAATGATTTAAAATATATTTTTTTGGTCTTTTTAAAGTCAGGTGTTTTGTCGTCAAACGACTATAAGAATTAAGAGTCAAAAAAAAAAACACATTTAGCACGAGATTACAAATACAATTTTCATACCAATAATTTAGTACACTACTAGTTATAAAATAAATACAAAATCATTAAATAGCAAGACCTCTAATTACATTTTTTAGATCTTTAAAAATGCGTGGTTTCGCGGAAAAACATTATTCTACCAAAATATCAAAAACCAATATTTAGCACGAAATTCTAGATATAATTTTTAATACGAATGATTCAATAGATTAGTATAATTCAAAAACACAATAAATCATTACATAGCAAGACCTCCAAATATGTTTTTTAGGTCTTTAAAATGGCGCGATTTCGCGGATAAACCTTACTTTATCAAAATGACAAAAACCAATATTTAGCACGAAAATTCAGATAAAATTTTTAGTATGAATGATTCAATACATTATTATAATACAAAAAAATAAATCATTAAATAGTAAGACCTCCAAATATGTTATTTAGGTGTTTAAAATGGCGCGATTCCGCGGATAAACATTACTTTATCAAAATGACAAAAACCAATCTTTAGCACGAAATTCCAGGTATAATTTTTAGTATGAATGATTCAATACATTATTATAATTCAAAAAAATAATAAATCATTACATAGCAAGACCTCCAAATATGTTTTTTAGGTCTTTAAATTGGCGCGATTTCGCGGATAAACCTTACTTTATCAAAATGACAAAAACCAATATTTAGCACGAAAATTCAGATAAAATTTTTAGTATGAATGATTCAATACATTATTATAATACAAAAAAATAAATCATTAAATAGTAAGACCTCCAAATATGTTATTTAGGTGTTTAAAATGGCGCGATTCCGCGGATAAACATTACTTTATCAAAATGACAAAAACCAATCTTTAGCACGAAAATCCAGGTATAATTTTTAGTATGAATGATTCAATACATTATTATAATTCAAAAAAATAATAAATCATTACATAGCAAGACCTCCAAATATGTTTTTTAGGTCTTTAAAATGGCGCGATTTCGCGGATAAAGCTTACTTTATCAAAATGACAAAAACCAATATTTAGCACGAAAATTCAGATAAAATTTTTAATATGAATGACTCCATACATTAGTATAATTCAAAAAAATAATAAATTATTACATAGCAAAACCTGTAAATACGTTTTTTTAGGTCTTTTGAAAAGCGCGGTTCCGCGGAATAACCTTACTTTATCAAAATGACAAAAACCAATATTTAGCACGAACATCCAGGTATAATTTTTAGTATGAATGATTCAATACATTATTATAATACAAAAAAATAATAAACCATTACATAGTAAGACCTCCAAATATGTTATTTAGGTGTTTAAAATGGCGCGATTCCGCGGATAAACATTACTTTATCAAAATGATAAAAACCAATCTTTAGCACGAAAATCCAGGTATAATTTTTAGTATGAATGATTCAATACATTATTATAATTCAAAAAAATAATAAATCATTACACAGCAAGACCTCCAAATACGTTTTTTAGGCCTTTAAACTGGCGCGATTCCGCGGATAAACATTACTTTATCAAAATGACAAAAACCAATATTTAGCACGAAAATCCAGGTATAATTTTTAGTATGAATGATACTTCAAAAAAATAATAAATCATTACATAGCAAGACCTCCAAATACGTTTTTTAGGCCTTTAAAATGGCGCGATTCCGCTGATAAAACTTACTTTATCAAAATGACAAAAACCAATATGTAGCACGAAAATCCAGGTATAATTTTTAGTATGAATGATTCAATACATTATTATAATTCAAAAAAATAATAAATCATTACATAGCAAGACCTAAAAATTTTTTTAGGTTTTTAAAATGGCGCGATTCCGCGGAAAAACATTACTTTATCAAAATGACAAAAACCAATATTTAGCACGAAAATCCAGGTATAATTTTTAGTATGAATGATTCAATACATTATTATAATTCAAAAAAAAAATAAATCATTACATAGCAAGACCTACAAATGCGTTTTTTAGGTTTTTAAAATGGCGCGATTCCGCGGAACATTACTTTATCAAAATGACAAAAACCAATATTTAGCACGAAAATCCAGGTATAATTTTTAGTATGAATGATTCAATACATTATAATAATTCAAAAAAGTAATAAATCATTACATAGCAAGACCTCCAAATATGTTTTTTAGGTCTTTAAAATCGTGCGATTTCGCGGATAAACCTTACTTTATCAAATTGGCAAAAACCAATATTTAGCACGAAAATTCAGATAAAATTTTTAGTATGAATGACTCCATACATGAATATAATTCAAAAAAATAATAAATTATTACATAGCAAGACCTGTAAATACGTTTTTTAGGTCTTTTGAAAAGCGCGGTTCCGCGGAATAACCTTACTTTATCAAAATGACAAAAACCAATATTTAGCACGAAAATTCAGATAAAATTTTTAGTATGAATGACTCCATACATTAATATAATTCAAAAAAATAATAAATTATTACATAGCAAGACCTGTAAATACGTTTTTTAGGTCTTTTGAAAAGCGCGGTTCCGCGGAATAACCTTACTTTATCAAAATGACAAAAACCAATATTTAGCACGAAAATCCAGGTATAATTTTTAGTATGAATAATTCAATACATTATAATAATTCAAAAAAATAATAAATCATTATATAGCAAGACCTCCAAATACGTTTTTTAGACCTTTAAAATGGCGCGATTCCGCTGATAAACCTTACTTTATCAAAATGACAAAAACCAATATTTAGCACGAAAATTCAGATAAAATTTTTAGTATGAATGACTCCATACATTAATATAATTCAAAAAAATAATAAATTATTACATAGCAAGACCTGTAAATACGTTTTTTAGGTCTTTTGAAAAGCGCGGTTCCGCGGAATAACCTTACTTTATCAAAATGACAAAAACCAATATTTAGCACGAAAATCCAGGTATAATTTTTAGTATGAATAATTCAATACATTATTATAATTCAAAAAAATAAATCATTTCATAGCAAGACCTACAAATACGTTTTTTAGGTTTTTAAAATGGCGCGATTCCGCGGAACATTACTTTATCAAAATGACAAAAACCAATATTTAGCACGAAAATCCAGGTATAATTTTTAGTATGAATGATTCAATACATTATAATAATTCAAAAAAATAATAAATCATTACATAGCAAGACCTCCAAATATGTTTTTTAGGTCTTTAAAATCGTGCGATTTCGCGGATAAACCTTACTTTATCAAAATGACAAAAACCAATATTTAGCATGAAAATTCAGATAAAATTTTTAGTATGAATGACTCCGTACATTAGTATAATTCAAAAAAATAATAAATCATTACATAGCAACACCTCCAAATATGTTTTTTAGGTCTTTAAAATCGTGCGATTTCGCGGATAAACCTTACTTTATCAAAATGACAAAAACCAATATTTAGCACGAAAATTCAGATAAAATTTTTAGTATGAATGACTCCGTACATTAGTATAATTCAAAAAAATAATAAATCATTACATAGCAAGACCTCCAAATACGTTTTTAGACCTTTAAAATGGCGCGATTCCGCTGATAAACATTACTTTATCAAAATGACAAAAACCAATATTTAGCACGAAAATCCAGGTATAATTTTTAGTATGAATGATTCAATACATTATTATAATTCAAAAAAATAAATCATTGCATAGCAAGACCTACAAATACGTTTTTTAGGTTTTTAAAATGGCGCGATTCCGCGGAACATTACTTTATCAAAATGACAAAAACCAATATTTAGCACGAAAATCCAGGTATAATTTTTAGTATGAATGATTCAATACATTATAATAATTCAAAAAAATAATAAATCATTACATAGCAAGACCTCCAAATATGTTTTTTAGGTCTTTAAAATCGTGCGATTTCGCGGATAAACCTTACTTTATCAAAATGACAAAAACCAATATTTAGCATGAAAATTCAGATAAAATTTTTAGTATGAATGACTCCGTACATTAGTATAATTCAAAAAAATAATAAATCATTACATAGCAACACCTCCAAATATGTTTTTTAGGTCTTTAAAATCGTGCGATTTCGCGGATAAACCTTACTTTATCAAAATGACAAAAACCAATATTTAGCACGAAAATTCAGATAAAATTTTTAGTATGAATGACTCCGTACATTAGTAAAATTCAAAAAAATAATAAATCATTACATAGCAAGACCTCCAAATACGTTTTTAGACCTTTAAAATGGCGCGATTCCGCTGATAAACCTTACTTTATCAAAATGACAAAAACCAATATTTAGCACGAAAATTCAGATAAACATTTTAGTATGAATGACTCCATACATTAATATAATTCAAAAAATAATAAATTATTACATAGCCAGACCTGTAAATACGTTTTTTAGGTCTTTTGAAAAGCGCGGTTCCGCGGAATAACCTTACTTTATCAAAATGACAAAAACCAATATTTAGCACGAAAATCTAAGTATAACTTTTAGTATGAATGATTCAATACATTATTATAATTCAAAAAAATAATAAATCATTACATAGCAAGACCTCCAAATACGTTTTTTAGGTCTTTAAAATGGCGCGATTCCGCGGATAAACATTACTTTATCAAAATGACAAAACCAATATTTAGCACGAAAATCCAGGTATAATTTTTAGTATGAATGATTCAATACATTAGTATAATTCAAAAAAATAATAAATCATTGCATAGCAAGACCTCCAAATACGTTTTTTAGGCCTTTAAAATGGCGCGATTCCGTTGATAAACCTTACTTTATCAAAATGACAAAAACCAATATGTAGCACGAAAATCCAAGTATAATTTTTAGTATGAATGATTCAATACATTAGTATAATTCAAAAAAATAATAAATCATTACATAGCAAGACCTGTAAATACGTTTTTTAGGTCTTTTGAAAAGCGCGGTTCCGCGGAATAACCTTACTTTATCAAAAAGACAAAAACCAATATTTAGCACAAAAATCCAGGTATAATTTTTAGTATGAATGATTCAATATGTATTTGGAGGTCTTGCTATATAATGATTTATTATTTTTTTGAATTATAATAATGTATTGAATCATTCATACTAAAAAGTATACCTGGATTTTCGTGCTAAATATTGGTTTTTGTCATTTTGATAAAGTAGGGTTATTTCGCGGAACCGCTCTTTTCAAAAGACCTAAAAAACGTATTTACAGGTCTTGCTTTGTAATGATTTATTATTTTTTTGAATTATACTAATGTATGGAGTCATTCATATTAAAAATTTTATCTGAATTTTCGTGCTAAATATTGGTTTTTGTCATTTTGATAAAGTAAGGTTTATCCGCGAAATCGCGCCATTTTAAAGACCTAAAAAACATATTTGGAGGTCTTGCTATGTAATTATTTATTGTGTTTTTGAATTATACTAATCTATTGAATCATTCGTATTAAAAATTATATCTAGAATTTCGTGCTAAATATTGGTTTTTGATATTTTGGTAGAATAATGTTTTTCCGCGAAACCACGCATTTTTAAAGATCTAAAAAATGTAATTAGAAGTCTTGCTATTTAATGATTTTTTATTTATTTTATAGCTAGTGGTGTACTAAATTATTGGTATGAAAATTGTATTTGTAATCTCGTGCTAAATGTGTTTTTTTGGACTCTTAATTCTTATAGACGTTTGACGACAAAACACCTGACTTTAAAAAGACCAAAAAAAATATATTTTAAATCATTGTTCGGCCATAATTTTTTGTTTATTCAATTAACAAAAACTTAATGAATATTTGGTATAAAAATTATATTTATAATCGCATTGTAAATGTGTTTGTTTCTTCCCCGTCTTTGTGTAAGATTATCTTATTTTAATTAATAATTCAAATTGAATTAATTTCAATAAATACACTAATATTTATTTGTTTCTAATTCATGATACTAAAGTCCACCTAAACCAAAGATTTTGCCGAATAACAACATCAAAACATTTGGGGACCGCCGCGCGGTTTGTCTGCTAGCTTCAGCCTCATTGGCTGTGACACTATATTAAATGAATATAATTAAAATAACCCTATGCAATCATGAAAAAATACTTCAATATATTAATTGTAGCAAGACAATTTTTGATGTGTTCAGATTCTTAATTTAAAATGCAAGAATTTGGTATACCTATGCTATGGCACTATTACTGACTAGAGATCATTTAGAGCTACATTCCCTCAAAGCAGCGGGTTCACAAAATAAAGACAATCGGAAATTCGATCAGGAACTAGAAAAGGTTTTTTGTAAAAAGACTCAAAAAAAAATTATTGCCAAAAATTTGTCCATCTAAGTCACCTTAAAACTTAGGGACCACAATGTTCCAATATTGCAAAAATCAATAAGGATTTTTTGTTAATATATGTTGTTTTTCTACACTGTTTGGGTAGGTAATTTATGTATTTGTTTTCAATGTTTTTTTTTTGTATTATTATATAAAAAATATCAAAATATTTTTTTGATCAGGGGCTCCTGAGACCCGGCCCCGTTTGGTGTTAAAATTTAGGGCGCCACAACTAGAGGATTAATAAAATTGTGAATTAAAAATATTTTGCACGATTTTCACTTTTAGGTTTCTTTAAAAAAAACCCCATAACTAAAAAATCTAGGTGTAAAAAACCTGTACCTACCTGCCATCTCTGGTCTCGTCTTCATTCATTTTACCCTGTGTTGAAGTAATATTTTCACTATCTGCTTCATTGATAACAAGTTCATTTACAGGCATTACACTATCACTATGATTAGAACTATCATCATTATTTCTAACAATTTCATAATTTTCTGTCAAATCTTCTTTGGAATCTTTAACACTGTCATATACTGTATTATTTTCGATAATAGTTTTGGTGTCTTGACAATTTACTTCATTCATATTAGTTTCCATGACAGCAGTATCTTGATTTTCATTAACAAGTAAACTGGGGGCGTTTTCTAAAATGTTATCACTAATTTCCATTGTATTTTGATTTATTGGTTCTTCAATATTAGTATTACTTTCAACTAATGGTTCCGACTCACCAGTAACGTGATTTTCCGGAGTAATTTGTTGTTTTGTATTTTTTTTGCACTTATTTTTATTAATACAATGATGGTAAAAAAAATTGTCTTGTTCACTAAAAAGTTTGTTACACTCACAACAAGCTATATAACAAGGTTCATTATAAACATTAAAAAATTCATCAAGTGTATTCTTATAACCAGGCTCAAGATTATGTTTAGATTGAATATGTTGACATAAATCTTCTAAAATTGAAAACATTCCTAAACAATACAAACATATAAATCTTTTATGAAATTCTAGCATATGAATGTATAAGTTCCAATTTTCATAATAAGTACCACAGGCAGAACACAGGAATACTTTTCTGGTTAACTTAAAACCTGAGTATGAATTACCTTTTGAAATTATTTCCACATTTTGTTCATTACATTGAATTACATGGTCTTGTAAGCTTGATAATGATTCGAAGCCTGATCTATTACATTTTGGGCACTTGAATTGAACAGATGGTTGCAATCCCAAGTATTGTGCGTACTCTCTTATTTTTTGTTTAGGTTTTCCCTTTTTCTTTAATTTTTTTGTAACTTTGTCCAAAGTATTTTCTAAATTTTCATTTAATACAGTAGTTTCTTGATTATTTTGGTGGAGCTGCGATAATTCAAACAAAGATTCATTAAAATATGGGTTTGAATGAGTCACTGTACCACTAATATTTTCTATACCCTCTTCACTATTAACTTTTAATTTCGGGTTATTCTTTTTTCTCTCAAGTTTCTTCTTTCTAGTAATACTTTCATCTATTACTAGTGCATCACTTTCAGAACTGAATGAATTTTCTTCATTGTTTATATCAGTAATGCTATCTCCATTCACTTTGGCAATTTCAGTGGAATTTATTTTATCCTGTTGATTAATAATGATATTCCCTTCTGGCAATTTTGCCATGATGGGATCTACTACTCCATTATTTGTGTGCTCAGGCACTTGTTCATCTGCAAGAGGGCCATTTGGACCATTTTCCATAACGAATCCACTTTTATTCCAGTTATCTAAATAGACAAAATATACTTTTTAAGTTTTATATAAAAATAAATGTCAAATTGATCAGTGTAACATACATTTTACAACAGATATTTAAAAAATACTTAGGTTTGGCGTTTCATGTTACAAAACAAGGACGCAAAACTACAAACCAAGCATTTTGGCTTAGCTATTGCAAATATTCCTTCTGTCGTAAAATGTTGCATTTTATTCAAAAATTCAATAACATACCTTTACGACATCTGCTGTCTTTTTCGAAAGAAAGATCCAAAATAAATAATGACTTCCAGACACATTATTTAATAACAAATTCACATATCCCCGCCTAAAGGTTAAGAAAATGGCGCTCCTTGCGTACAAACAGTTGATACGATGACCCAAGATTGGGCGTCTGAAAATTAAATAGTAAATTTTTGAGAATTGGAAAATATATCTTTGTGATCTTTTTTTAACAGAAGGCATCAGTTTATTAAAAAGAACAAAGAATTACTATGTATTTACAGATAAACAAAAATATATGAATCTGAAACAATTAGGCATTCCAACGACCTGTCCAAATGGCTACCAGTGGGTACTGACAGTTTAGATATGGCAACCCTGTTGTCATGTTGTCATTAACAGGGTCAATGATACATATAAGTTATATACATTGCTCAAAGCTGGTCGTTTGCGAGCAGCCATATTGCCTGGCAAATATTTATTAATTTGAATCAGTTTAGCAAAAATGTGTTTTAAAACCAATTTTCAGACTTTAGATATTTAAAAAATAATAATTTCTTATATGTTTACTTCAAGGCATAAGCTTATGTTTATTTTTAAAAATAGGGATGATCAATCTATGTAACTATCTATTTCACTCACCTTGTCAAATCCCCAGGCCTACAGAGTTGCCATAAATTTGCCACATCATAACCTGTCAAAACCCACTGGTAGTCATTCAGTTTGGAATGCCTAATTACGAATGATATTTTGGACGGGCGCCTGCGCGAACGTGAATACTTAATATTTTTTTAAATATCCATTAATATTTTTCATCACAGTTTCTCATTTAAATAAAATGTTATAAAGCATTAAGACTTCTTACGGGAGCCACAGCCACAAACATTAAAACGCAGATAAGTATTTTATTTTAAAGTTTAAAGATCCTTGATTATGATTTTTTTAGCGGTTGGTTACAATGACCGCGGCACGATTGGTCATACTGTTTGACAACTCTTTTGACGTAAACCCACAACCGTAACGTAAACAATCCGTAATCCGTACGACGTAATCATATGTATGCAACCAGTATAACGCAATGAACTGGAGTGGGGTAGAATCACATACTTTGATTGCTGTCAGTGTCAGTGAATATTATTTTTGAAGTCACAGTTTATTGCTAAAGAATCAGTTAGCTCACTCGGACCAGTTGAAAGTTCCAAAATAACATCCACTCCAGGGATACAAATTCAGGATACGCAGAAGACTGCTGTTTTATTATAGGCGGTTGTCATATATTGTATTATCCGAGTTGCACAGTGTATAAACCACATACTTTGATTTTCTTTTACTATACGGAGAATGGTCGCACTGCGCAGCTTTCTGAGTGCCTTTTAAAAGGAGATAGAAAACTCCGCCATTTTGAACCCTTATTACGTGTTGCCTACATCTTGGCGCAATATTTTTAATAGATGCGTTGTAATCATCCGCTTCTGCTTCGGAATTGTCGGTTTTCTTGTTTTAATCTGACAAGTTAAAACGACTAAACCGACAATTCCGGAAGCAGAAGCGGATGATTAAAACGCACCTGATATTTTGCTTGCTGCTGTCAGTGAATATTATTTTTGAAGTCACAGTTTATTGCTTAAGAATCAGTTAGCTCACTCGGACCAGTTGAAAGTTCCAAAATAACATCCACTCCAGGGATACAAATTCAGGTTACGCAGAAGACTGCTGTTTGAATATAGGCGGTTGTCATAATTGTATTATTCGAGTGGCGCAGTGTATAAACTGGAACATTGAGATCAAAAGTGCCGACGCAGAGTGAGCGATCTGATTCTTTAGCTGTAAACTGTGTCACAGGGTTCAAAATGGCCGCGCCCTATGTTGGGCGTGTCGGACCTCCCTCTTGCCTCGTATAGTAATCAAATGCTGCGTTTGAGAATCCACATCGGATGCATTTTTTACATCTCGAGCGTTTTTTTATTCACATCGGACACATCTGTCCCATTACATTTACGTATACTGAGTCACGTGATCAAATATTTTTTACATCTCAGATGCATCCGATGTGGATTCTCAAACGCGGCAATAGTTTGTGGCCCCAGGGGACCTATTTTCAAACCGTGTGAGTACTCATTTCTCTCAAGATTCTCATCAGAAATGTCATACGTCAATGTGGAAACGCTGTTTTTAAAGGCCTCGAGGATTTAAATTCTTAGGAGGATATTAATTATCTCTAAATAAACCGTGAGAAACAATCAGTGAGTTTACACTGGCCCTTAGGACCCTAAAAATACTGTTTTACGTTGACGTATGACATTTCTCTCGAGAGAAATGAATTCTCTCGACTTTGAAAATAGCACCCGAGGGGAGCTATTTTCAAACTCGAGAGAATTCATTTCTCTCAAGAGAAATGTCATACGTCAACGTAAAACCGTATTTTTAGGACTCTTAGGCCCAGTGTGAACTCACTGACTGTTTCTCTCGGTTTATTTAGAGAGAATTAAAATCTTCCTAAGAATTTTAATCCTCGATGCCTTTAAAAACAACATTTCCACATTGACATATGACATTTCTGATGAGAATCTTTAGAGAAATGAGTGCTCCCATACTTTGAAAATAGCCCCCCAGGGGGGCTATTTTCAAACTCGAGAGAATTCATTTCTCTCAAGAGAAATGTCATACGTCAACGTAAAACAGTATTTTTAGGGCTCTTAGGGCCAGTGTAAACTCACTGACTGTTTCTCTCGGTTTATTTAGAGATAATTAAAATTCTCCTAAGAATTTTAATCCCCGAGGCCTTTAAAAACAGCGTTTCCACATTGACATATGACATTTCTGATGAGAATCTTGAGAGAAATGAGTGCTCCCATATTCTGAAAATAGCCCCCCTGCCCCTGGTCCAACCTCTCAATCAAGCCAGTGGCGTCACTGTCGTCGTTTATATCGACAAAAACAAACAAGTTGCAGCAGCTCGGAATCAGTAGCGTGTGTCTTAAATTTATTTTGTTTGTGATGTGTGTATTATGTAGTTATTGTTATTTTTTAGAATTATAAATATTTTTTGACACTTTTTATATAGTAGTTGTTTTCCAGTGTTAATTTGCTAACTTTTACGTGTTTTACTATGTCTGGGCAAAGTTGTGCAGCAAAAAACTATATGAATATAAACTGTATTAAAAGATTTTTTGGGTTTCTTAGGTTCGATTCCATCGTTGTGTTAAACGAAGTTTAAAATGACATTTTTACATTAACAACGTCATTTTAATCTCCGTTTAACACAACGGTGGAATCAGTCCTTAAAGATCCTATTAGGTAGGTATGTATGGTAACTTTATAAAAAATCTGATGTGTCCAACACATGACTTTCCTATCTAGTTATTACAGGCTTTTTCCGTTTATTGTGTACAACCTATTGCAGCATCTCTATAAATGTTTAGAGGATAAACTAAATATATACATTGTCCACATACATCTACCGCGAAACATTTTTCTATAGATATTCATTGAAAATGAAAATACTGAAAAATTTAAATTTAGCACTTTTCCTACAATTTTTCCATTATGGTCCATTTAAAAAAAATCATGTATGAACAAATATTATAGAGATCGATATCGCAAACAACTTTTATTTCAACAATTTTCATAAAAATCAGAATTTTGCACATTTTGTCAAATTTCTCGAATACGGACCATTTCAGGAAATTTTTACATAAGGCAAAAATTATAGATAATAATATTAGAAGTAACTTTTATTTGAACAATTTTCTTCTCCAAACATAAATAACAGATATATTCCATAAAATATAAAAACGGCCTCCCATAAAGTACCCCCCCAGATGTTCCGACTTTGTCCAAAATCTAATCATTTCACGTCAGGCCGAAATAAAACTTAAGTTTAAAATTTATTGATTTTTTCTTTATCCGTTTTTGAGTTTTCTTCAAATTTCGAAATTTACACATTTTCTCAAATATCTCGAATACGGTCCATTTTAGAGAAATTATCTATGGGACAAAAATTATAGAGAATTATATTACAAACAACTTTTATTTGAACAATTTTTATAAAAAAAAATATTTTTTTACATTTTGTCAAATTTCTCGAATACGGACCATTTTAGGAAAATTTTGTAAATAACAAAAATTATAGATCATAAAATAAGAAGTAACTTTTATTTAAAAAATGTTCTTCCCCAAACGTAAATAACAGATATATTTCATAAAATATAAAAATCACCACCTATAAAGTACCCCCCCAGATGTTCCGACTCTGCTCAAAATCTAATCAGCTCATTAGACGCTGGAATAAAGCTTAAGTTTGAAATTTGGTATTTTTCCGTGTATCGGTTCATGAGTTATGCGTTATACAGACACACACACACAGACATCATCGCGAAAATAGTCAAAACGGATTCAGGGGACCTCAAAACGTAAAAATCCGTCGAAAACTCGAGGTCGAAAAAAATCATGATTCCTATACTTTCCTTATATCTGTATACAGATAGGAAAGTAAAAATCATAGGTTATGGGTCAGTTTGTGAGTTATAAACCTATTAGTAAGATGCAGGTATAGGTGCCTGGTTAACGTTACGTAATGTTTAGTCTCAATTTATATTTACTTATGTAGGTATATTATTAAGATTTAAAGTAAAATATTATATTTTAAACATCTGCCGTATGGAGTTGACAAAATAGGTTTACTATATTAATATGTTAGGTCAGGTGTACAGGGTCTTAATAAATGAAGAAACTTGAAATTGACAAAAGGAAAAAATCTGTATTACCTATTGATTTTAGGAAGAAAAGTCACAGTTTTTCTGTCGGTTTTTCTTCATAACTTTAAAATGAAACTTTTTCTTGTTATTTTTTTCAACAAGCAGAATTTTTTGTAAGGAATGACTTTTTTTTTCTGAAAAAAATAAATACCTATTAATCGTAATTGTGTTATTCCCAAATATTGAAATGCTTAACAAAAATTTAATTCTAATATTCATTTTGATAATAATTATTCTAGATATGCGAATAACAAAGCTTTATAATCTTGATAAAACTAAAGTATTTTCATTACAAAAAGCAAGAAAATCTTAATTAGCCATTAAAGAAATTATAAGTAGTAAATTAAAAATTAGTAATGAGTCACATACAATCAAAATCATGTGTCTTAGGACCGATTCCACCGTTGTGTTAAACGAAGTTTAAAATTACATTTTTACTTTCCTATCTGTATACAGATATATTACTTTCCTATCTGTATACAGATATAAGGAAAGTATAGGAATCATGATTTTTACATTAACAATGTCATTTTAATCTCTGTTTAACACAACGGTGGAATCGACCTTAAGCAATTATTTAACATAAAATTTTACAATTTTTGGCAATTTAAAAATGTCAGATAATAGTTTTGTTTAATAACAAAAATTGAAATAATTTTTCAACAAAATTTTGAATTATTTATCACTAAATCCGGCGTTTGTAATTTTTTTTAGATTTAATTAATTCCGAGATAACATTTGACGCTCCTTGTCCTCGATTTCCAGAAATATATGTTATTAAGTTATATTTAAGGCTACTCATATATTACACTTTAAAAATATTAATAGAAATTTTAAGACCATCATTAAAAACAAGCTAATTATTTGGCGCAATATGTAGAGAATATTGTCTTTCTTAGTGCTGTTCTTATAAGTTAAATTAAAATATATTTCATGTAAATTTTTACTTTTTTGTTTTAATACAATCCTGCCTATCAATACCTTATGTTATTACAAAATCTTTAAATACGCTTTAATTCGACCCTGTCTAAGACCCCCGAATGGCGTCGCCAAGGTCCAATTTTCTCAGCATAATATTTTTATGCGATCAGCGGCAAGTGAGCCTGCCGATTGTTTCTTATGCCGTGATCATAATCCACTTTAAAACATATGCTTCTGGTTGCGACATTGCTATAAAGACTTATATTTTTTATATCATGATATGATAAAGACTAGAGATAGGCACTACTTAGTATGCGCTTTGAGTAGTTTTCAGACGATGCTACGGCATTAAATTAGGCCGGATTTGAAATTATTTTTTGCTTAAATAAATCGGAGTTTTGATTTTCACCAACGTATATGTTACGTTCAGCATTGGTCTCACATCTCACAGATAATTTTCATCAGTAAAATACAAAAATTTAATAGTTATTTAACGACCTAGTTTATTATGTTCAAGATTCGTTTCAAGATTTTTTCAGTGACCAGATTTCTATTAAAATGTAAAATCAAGCTTGCAATTTTAATATTTGATTTTAAAGTGTCAGTTATTGCTTATAGGCGTTACAAAAAATATCAATTTAAGGATAGTTCACAACAATGCAGGTAGATAAACGATTAATAATAGAAAATAGACCATTAATGAGGCCAATTAATACCTAATTTTGTCAATATTAACTGGATAAATTAATACACGGTAAACGGAAAAATATGTTATTGGTTTCACATAAAATGTGTACATAGAAAAACCACCTAGAACACGACTTGCTAATTGTTGTATCGTGACACATTAAAGACGGGTGCAAAATAAATGGCGTAACTGCACTGAAAAATAACTATTTCAGATAAAATACGTACATGGATAAGCAAATACAATGGTTATTTCTCAGTGTAGTTGCGCCATTTATTTTGCACCTGTCTTGTACCTGTTATATAACTTTAAAATGCATTATTGGCGATGGAACAAAATGAGCTTGAAAAAATTTTTCCTACAGAATAACAAAATAAATGGTTGGCATATTTATTCGAATAATTATTTTCAAATAGAATAGGTTAAAAATTTCAATAAAATTCGTTTCCGGAGAAATTATGTTTACCACTGTTGGCATGACTATCCTTAAATGTAGTAGCAACATCTTTCATATGTGCCCAATGTATCATCAGTATACAAGAGAAGATGACAAAGTCAAAAATTTTATATTTTTTAGTTTGTAATGCCCATATACCTTAAATTTAATATTATTTATCAGGAAAAAATGCAACTCGAAAAATGCCATAAAAATGGTTATAATCTAAAATTCCATAATGACTAAATATTTGATTTGATAATCATAAAGCAAATCATTAAAATACTAATAACTCAAAACCATTATCGGTGGAGTTAAAGGTTTCGAAACCAAAAACGAATTTTTAAAAATTTACTTTATTCCGAATGTTATAAGATTGGAACTAACTAGAAAATTATGGATTTGCACTATTTATAAACTACGGTTAATCATATATTTCTAAGCGTCTATTCTATTCATTATTCTACGTATTTCTGGAATATAACTCCTCCACCCCTGGATGGAAGCACAGCCCTTATGGATGTGGTTCAGGACATCAGACGACAATTTCTACTCCGTTTGATGGTTGAATTCTTCTTTGACGATTAATGATGCAGCCTTTTTTAAAATCCAAAATCCTATTATAGAACCAATTGATATGTATATAAGGATTGTCCATGTACTGATCCTGTTAAAATAAATTGAAGTGTTGATAGTTTTTAAATTTTCTTTTTGAATTTCTAGTTTAGTTTGTATTTCTTGGGTTTCCTTTAAACTAATTGCTCTAAGATCCAGTGAGGGTGGATCAATCTCCTGAGTTTGAGAATTTTTGAAATTTACAGCCAAATTCATTACTGGAAGGTGAACGTCAATAAAATTTAGTAGATTGATTTTTGTTGTAAGAAATGTAAATGATTTTATATGAACTGTACAATCAGAAGTTGATTCCAGTAATAAGGTTCCATGGATTGGTGCGTTGTCCTTTGAGTCCTGGCAGTGAATTATGGTAACTTCTTTATTAGGTGCGGTTATTAGCCATTTTCCATCGGTAATTTTGATTGGATATAGTATGTAGGCGAATATGATCTGGTCGACAGGTGGTGACTTTTGAGTTGTAAGTAGCTGTACGGTACATGGTGAGTCCTCTGAGGTAAAGGATTTATGAATTTCTCTGCATATGTACTCCTTAGACTGAATATGAATACAGGCTTGATCCATATATGAATGAGCTTTGTCAGTACAATCTTGGTAAAATCCTACTGCTAACTGCGCCAGTTAAAGGTTTCAAACCAAAAACGAATTTTTTAAAATGTATTCTGAACTAACTAGAAAATGATGGTTTTGCACTATTTATAAACTATGGTTGATCACATATTTCTAAGTGTCTATTCTATTCTTCATTATTCTACGTATTCCTGGAATATAACTGTGGACTTGGTCACCTTCTCTTATATATCGATGATATACTAGCATTGTTTTACTGTTGGAAAGCATTTTTGACAAGCTATGATGCATCGTATATCCTCAGATTATTAAATCAGATATTTTTTACAATTAGTCTTTTCTCTTATCCATTGCATGAAATATTTCAATTAGGCAATATTTAAAAGAAATAGTATATAAATAGCAAGGAATTAACCGAGTAGTGATGTAAAATTCTCGATCACGTATTTTTGGAGAACATTCCCCGAGCACGAACGAGAATAAACGAAAATACCTGAAAATTTTATGTTTCTGGAGTGGTAAAGTATTCAAAACCTTACTTTTAGTGGTGCTTTCCGAAAATGCTCAATATTCTCCTAACGCTTCATAAGAAAATAACGCTGTATTGTGTGTTGCAAATAATACAGTAATATCTAATGATCTATCATGTGCACACGAACGTTCCCCCACAGCATGAAGGGAACGTTCCCCACTTTACGTCACTACCTGCGAGTATATTTACAGCATGAGCTGCATGCGATTGATGTAAATCATACACATTCTTTGTTAAACACTATACTTTTTCTGTCTATAACATGCTGCTACCTTCGAGCATATGCTACAGAGAAAGTAAAAGTTGGAAAGGCTTTTGGTAGGTAGAGAGGGGGTAAACGTCAAACCACGTCGGACGGCTTCGAGAATTTCGCAGTAATGTTTGCCTGCCAGTGTCGTTTCATAGAATAAGTAATTTTAAATTGTTATCGGCGGAACCGGACAATCGCTTGTATTTACATACTATAAATAATTATTAAACATGTATTATAATATTCAATCATAATTTTACAAAATTTCAACAGCTATTCACAATTTAATAAACTACTCGAAATTGTTATTAACATCTATAAAATAATTTTGTATGCCAATGTATCGCGTCCACTTCGGTGATATCCGACGGAAACCTGTCAATTTATGTGTATAAAGTGGGAGAACTGGCAAAAACCTTTCCAACTTTTACTTCTGTTCTACTAACTAATAATTAGTTATAATTTCTAAAATAAAAATGACAGCTCTTCTCAATAATTATTAATGTTTGACATTTCATATCACACAATTTTATTTAGGGAATACTACTTTGTGTCATCAGATAAGGAAATATATTTGGGAACTCCCAAAGGGCTATCGACTAGAATCTTTCTTCAATGTTTATTTTCAGAAAATTCTAAAAATAATCTCTATTGATTTTGACAGTCATGTGAAGTTTCTGATTATTTTTCCAATAAATAAATGTTATTAAATATGAGACATATATATTTATATAAAAAATTTATTAAATCAACTTACATTTATTCTAATAAAATTTACATATAACAAGTTATAAATCAACTGATTTTTATCAGGGTTTACAGTTATAAAACTAAACATTAAGTCAGAGTTAGATCATTAAAAATCAGACAAAACCTCTGTTATTCTCAGGAGATAAAAAAAAAAACATAAAATGTTTCACACAAATTCACACGTGGTTCTCAGCTTATCATAATCTGATAATCTAACAAAACTATTTCATATCCTTTGTATAAGCATCTAATTCTGCGTCTAGCTCTTCTGCAGTCGGCTGTTTCCTTGGTCCTTGTCCTCGAGGATTTCGCCCACCTCGACCTACAAGGAATAAAAAAAATACACATTGTATATTTTAAGTCATATGCTTTTAAAAATACTAAATGCACAATTAAATAAGTTTTTTGTTCAAGTCTCTATTTAGTTAATAAATTACTCTAATACACATACATGATTTTAATAAATATCAAATTGTTGACAAATTTCAATATTCCAAGCTTTATACTTTCTAATACTACTAATGCGCTAGTTCAGTGTGATTTAGGTAAACAAAACGCACTCAAAACATCTACTGTCACTTTAATTGTCAGTGGAACCATAATTACATCATCACTGAACTAGCGCATTGTAATTATTTTTGTCCAATATATTTAGAAAAAATAACTAAACAAAATAAATGGATTCTTATACATCTTTCTAGATAAAAATAAAAAAACGGTTACGTTCGACTTTAGCGACACACTGTTTGACCAATTTTACTTTGTTTTTTGATTGAAATGATATTAAGTATGATTTTAACTCACTGTAAGTTTAAAAATACGAAAAAAAATCATAAATCAATTATTTATTTTAATTAAATACTTTTTAAAAATCAGAAAACGAGTCTTTCATTAAATTTAACCTAAAACTTGAAAATTTTATTATTTGACATTTCTTTTCTGGATAATGAGCGGGGTTGCCAAGATTAATTTATTACTTGTTACTATTTCTGCCGTTACCCGCAATATTTAAAAAACTAAGTAGATTGGGTATTAACAGTTTAGATTTAGATGTTCATTTATTTTATTCTAGAACATTTTTCTCAGAATATTAATTGTGAATGTCACTCACAATTTTGTCTTGAATTATTTATAGTGTTTTTTAATAATCAAAATTATGGAGTTGAATAGTATTAATCAAATTATTAACAAGAATGATGCTGATTTGGTGAAATACTTCATCATCATCATCTGAATTAGGGCGTGGTTCAAAGCCCACTTGTACTGAAGCTCTAGGCTTATTGTACCCCTCACAGTTTCTATCCCATCAGATTGATTTTCTTGATGAATTCAAGAATGTCTGATGGGCGCTTTCGCGATTTCTTCAGGTTCCGGATATTGTACCCCGAAGTACCATTCCCGTTCCCATTTAAGGTTCCGGCAGTGGCATAGTATGTGAATAGGAGTTTCGTCCTCCTCTTCACATATTCTGCATAGGGAGTCATCAGATATCCCTAAGAGATTTAGGTGTCTTCTAAGGCCGCAGTGTCCCGTAAGGAGTCCTATTACGGCCTTGAGTTCGCTTCTGCTAAGGTTTAGCAGTTGATGTTGTCTGCTCGTGGATGGCCCCTCTATGAATCTTTTGGACTGTCTAAGTCCAGGAAGTTCCATCCAGAGCCTATGGTGTTCTCTTTTTATTTGTTCCTTTAACACCCATTTAACATGTTGGTATGAGATACCACATGTGGGTTCCGGTCCAATAAGAGTTTTTTTCCGCTCCCTTCCTTGCTAGGTCTGCTTTCTCGTTTCCAAACACTCCCTCATGTCCTGGCACCCATTCAAGGGTAACCTTGTTATGTTCTGCCAGAGCCTGGAGGGATTGTTGGCAATCAAATATTGATTTAGATTGTACTTCTACCCTTTTTAGTGCTTTAAGGGCTGCCTGACTGGGTGAAATACTTACAAGATATTAATTTAATAAAGAAAGAATTTAGAGTGAACGGTTTGTTGAATGAGTCAAATAATATGATTTTGTAACATTGTATTCCTAGAAATTACTCAAAAATAACATGTGAAATGTCAATAAGTTAAAAAAACTTACAAAGGATTACTGTTTGATTTTATAAACAATTGTATAAGCTGATATGAACAGATAATATTCTTTGATCTGTGTTAGGGGTCGGGAAGCGATGTTAGGTAAATATTCTGGCATTTTATCACAAAATTCTATTATTTTTATTTAAATAAACAAATCATAAAAGTATATTAATTTACGAGTTTAAAAGTTAGTTCTTCTTACATATTAATATACTTGGCAACCCAGTACACATATGTCAAAATATTTGATTAAAATTGTGGAATTTTTGAGATTTTAACATTAAATTTCTCGCTTAATCGTAGATAATCTCCAATTTTTTTTTTAAATTTTCATGATATATAACTTCTCCACTTTCTAATAGTACAAAAAATATTTTGAAATTCGTGTGTCTTTTAAGTCGATATAACCAAATAAACTGTCAACTTAAAATCTAACTTTTAAATTTTCAACCTCCAATAACTAAAATTGTTAATGAGAATTAAGGTAAAGCATTATTTAAATCTCCGCTTGAATTCACTTAGGGCAGATGTCCAATTATTAGCAAACTAATTTCAATATATATTTTCAAGTTCTATGTATTGCACTAACATCTGAAGTCCATATAACTATAAAAAGAATACTACACAATTTACTAAAGTCTGTTGGCACTTGTGGCTTTTAAGTGTATTAGAGAACTGGATATTTATACTGATTTCACAAAAAATTTGTATTTTGTGACATACGCCCTAAGTGAACTGAAGCGAAAACATAAGGTCCTTCCTAAATATTATTTGAACAAAAAACTTCATATTCCAGTAACTCTATTCTATAACAGGTTTAATTTTAAAAATCAATAAAATTATCTTTTAGACAGCTTTTTATTTTATAGTTAATTTTATAGGTTGATTTCTAGTCTCAAAAGTCAAATTTAAAAAAATACGGGTGGCACTCAGGGACTGCCGTGGTAAAGCTATTACATAGCATTTTTTATCAACTTATGCAATTATAATTATTTATTTTATTTATGCAGTATTTTTTTTCTTTAATATTAATTCAAGTTTTTTCTTTGATATTAATGCAAGTTACACTTTTTGAGCATGGTGACCGATAAGAAAACAATTTTTTTTCTTTTATTGAATAAATGAGAAGTTAATTTTGTTTAAAATATTTTTATTATCTTACAATACATGTAGGTTATTCAGGAATTTTTATCATTGAAACTATAGGTTTGTGGTAACTGAAATAAGAAACATAAGTTTGAGACTTGATATCCTCTAAATATCTGGAAAATACCGCGTCAATGGTGGATTATTCATTTTCAAATTCAATTTTTCCGAAATTGTGTCTAAAAAAGATAGAATCAGTTATGAGCAGTTAGCAGCTAGTCTACACGCATACGTCTAGTCGCACACACACAAACACCATGCCGAAGTCTGCCGAACTGAAACGACGTTAGACGATGCACGTCTTTCAACGCCGCACCGCTATGCCGGTCGAAGTGGGGGGTGTTAGGTTTATTTTCGTTACAGAATTTTTTTCGATTTTTTGATTTTTATATTTTGATTTTTAGATTTTTGGATTTTTAGATTTTGATTTTTCGATTTTCTTTTAATGAATAAATGAGAAGTTAATATTGTTTAACGCCGCACCGCTGTGCCGGTCGGAGTGGGGGGGTGTTAGGTTTTTTTTCGTTACGGTCGTTACGGAATGTCTGGATTCGGTCGCCGCGCTCAAAGCCCGCGATAAAAGCTATGCAATAGCTTAAAAGTATAAACTTCTAACTTATCATTTATTACATCTACATTTAAATCAAATCCTGTATCATGTGATAAAAAAGTACAACATCTCAGGAAGATATTCAAACGCAGCCTAAGTATATAATTATAGTTGGTGGTGCATATAAAAAAAAAGAATCTGAATAGTAATGGACCTTCTTAGTTATTTTTGACAAATTGTAAGTTGTGTCAAATATGACAGAGTTACTGTTTTAGGTGCACTGCTGAAGAAATTAATGTTGCATGCTGGCATCAATTTGGTTACATGGGATATGGGTATTGTTGAAAACTGATCATTAGACAATATACTTAAAACAAATAGTACAAAGTCATGCTGTTATCTGTACACTGCACCAATGTAGTGTCAGGCATATATATGGCAACTCTGTCATCATTCTTCACACATTTGTGACATCAAAATGCCATCATTGATTTTCTCTTTAATGAATGAATAATGAAAATATTAAGTTAAAAAAATTTAAGAGACTAATAATTTATGTCTTTTTTATTTTTATTGGATTGTCCATTCATTTATTTTAAGTTACTCATGTAGGGGGGCCACTGAATCATTTTCTTTATATATTATACCTACATTTATTGGGGTTAATCCCATCAGATAAAATAAGGTAAATTTTTAGTTTGGCCACTTTAATATTATAATAAAAAAAATGGCATACATTCTTGTAGGTACAGCTATTGTAAACAAAAACATATAGTGTGCAAATTAATAATTAAATTAATTTTTTTAAACAAAAATACTGCAATGTTTCAAAATTAGTATTACCAATTTTATGGGAAAGGGAGTGGATAGGGACTCTGGGTGGGTAAATCAAACTCTCAAATACAAACGAATTCTTGCATCATTGATGTATCTACTATCTCCATATGATTACATCAAAGTTGACTCTTCATAAATTGTCATATATCTCTTTTAACATTCCTATTAGAATTATAAGATAATATTTTCTATTTTACAACCAATCTACAAATCTGCAATTACCAGAATGTTAGAAGCAAATAAATACTCTGATAAAATCTGTTTTCTAATTTTATGTGTCAAATATACAATCTGTTTGATTATCATATCTGAATGTGTTTTGTTTCAGTTATTGTTTAAACATATTTGCTCTAGTTTAACTGGTTTTATATTTACCGATAAAAAGTAGTAAATTTGAAAATGTTTTAAATTTAATTTAGTTTTAACTTATGACAGTTTAACCTGTTCTAGTCTGTATTTATATTGGGGTAATCCTGTTAAATAAATAAAATATGGCAAGAAAAATTATTAGAAATTATTTGCTGTAATATTTGACAATTAATAATAGGACAGTAAAATTTTTGAGTAACTTAGCAACAGCATATGAGTAGCATCACAGAGCTTCAATTTGATCCCTTGATTTATAGATGTCCACATTTTGATAATAGTTAATTAAAAATATTAACTGTGTTATTAATTTTCACAAGATATGAAACTTAGGTTTTTTGTTAACAATAGGAAGTATGGCTGCTTAGTTTTTCAAACGTGAAAAGCGGTTAAACTAGCAAAAAAATAATTCTTACCTCTAACAGGTCGTCCTTTATTTCCACCCCTAGGACTCCTATTTTGGAACCTCCTTTCTCCACCTCCTCCTCCGCCACCACTGGCAATACTTCTTCTTACAGGACTAGGAATTTCTGATGTAGTAAGTTGAATGTTCATAGCTCTTCCATCTAGTGGAACTCCATTATATTGCTTCATAGCTTTGATAGCATCGCTTCTCCTTTCAAAAATAACATCTGCTGTTCCAAGAGATCTACCTGATCTATCATAGTGAACTGCGGCACTTTTAAGTGGGCCAAATTCAGCAAATAATTCCTGAATGTCAGAATCAGATACTCCAAAATCTAAGTTAGAAACCATGAGTTTTGTAGGACCCATAGTAGCTTGTACTGTAGCTCTAGCCGCTGCAACAACCTTTCGGGCGCCGTAACCCTCAAAAAGGTCATGCTTCCATGCACTGTTCACATCTCCCTAAAGAAACAATTGGTCAGGACCTAAACCTTCTTTGGTATTTTTTATGTAGACTCCATGACATTTCCAGCCCGAGCCTCAAAAATAAAAATCATTAAAATTAATAGTAAATGTAATTACCCGCGTGTAATTTCGAGAAATTCCACCTCGCCCACGACCTCTTTGCACACTTCCACCACTTTGGCGACCAGGACCTGAATTTCTAAAATTTCCTCGGCGTGGACCACCACCACCACCACGACTTCTTCCTCCGCGTCTTCCACCGCCACCACCTCCTCGTCCTCGTTGAGATTTACTTGATTTTATAATGTCATCAAGGCTCATTTCGATTTTGTCAACCATTTTAATTTCAAAATTATTTTTCTACAAAAATACCAAATTTATACAACGGCGTCACCTCTGTCACTCAGAACTCAGAACAACAATGGCGCACCACAGTGGCGCACTTGGAAACTTCGAACGCAGAGTGGGAAAAAGCGACAAGCAGTGTCACCACACACATACTTTGATTACTATACGAGGCAAGAGAGAGGTCCGACCATAGACATGAAGAGCGGAGATAGGAAAATGGCTGCCCGGGTGGCAAGCAAAAACGTTTACGATAGCGTAAATGCGGGGGAGGATTTGAGTCTGCGCATGGGTGCGTTTAGAATGCCAGGACGTACAATAAGCCAGGGTGTGACGTTTTTAGAAAATAAATTGCGTTTTTACACAGTGTTTCTGAACGACCCCCCTACGTCACAGTTCTTGGACATTGCTTGACAGTTCATGTCAACAAAGATTATTGTTCTGTGATCTATGTAAAAATAAATTTAAAATTTAAAATATTATTTTGTATTGTCAAAATGAATAAAGATTATATTTCCATTTTACCAAAAGAATTGGTACCTAATCAACATGTATTAGTGAGGGAGGAGGTCAATGGCGACATAGGAGAAATCATAAAAAATGAAGAAGGGCACTTGTTGATGATGGATTTACAAAGCCAAACTATGTATTACCTGCCACCAACATCAGAGATACTAAGATTTTTTAATATAGAACAACCAGCCCTTAGTGAAGATGAAACAAAAAAGTGGAGTAGGGAAGAGATATTAAAATTAATAAATATTTACAAAATATATGAGTCCTCTTTTAAAAATACCTCAATAAAAAATGAGAAAGTGTGGCAGCGAGTTTCAAAAGAACTAGGCACCCGTTCGTCAGAACAATGCAAAAATAAATTTAAATATTTAAAAGGCAAATATGTGGAAAAAAAAGAAAATATGAGCTCAAAGGCAAGCGGAAGCAAGGTTGTAAAATTCGATTTCTTTAATGAGTTTGAAGAACTTTTTGCACACCATCCAAATATACAACCACAAGCTGTAGCAAGCTCTTCTCGAGGAGAAGATAATGTAAAAAATATAATGGGATCAGATACTAATGTATTAAATAATGAAACTAAATCTGATACAGAAAATAAAAAAAAAAGAAAAAGAAGCATGCTTGAGAAGCAGTTAGATACGTATGAAGATAAACTGAATGAACGAGAAAGAAACAAGGAACGCAGACATCAAGACATAATGAGAAAGCAAGATGAAGCCTTAGATGTTTTCAAAAATATCGCTTCTAGTTTTGAAAAATTTGTCAATAACAATTAATGATTTTGTTTTAACTAGGTGTAAAGTTGTTTTGTGATAAAAGAAAAATGTTTTTTTTTTGTTGGTTTATATCATCATTAGAATTAAATTGAATAAAAAAGTTTTTAAAGTAATAGTTTTTTTAACACTTTTACTATTATTTTATATTGAGCTGAATAATAAGTGGGTACACGTTTTATTGTTTGGTACTCAGATAAAGCTTGTAACTGAAACAGGTAGCGGTTTCTAAAATGTGTTTATATTATAATAAAGATATAGCATTGCATGGTTGTAAGCTAGTTGTAAAAAGGGCATATTAGTAAAATATTATACTAAAACTTAGAAGACTATAGTTTTAGATGGAAATTTTGTTACCAAAGAATTTGTTTTAATTTTATTATTTTTAATATTTTGGTCTCAGAAAGAATGTCTAGTTTAATTTTTTGTTTGTGATTTTAACTAAGAATTAGTGTTTAAGTTTAAAATTATAAAAGTACCTATATTTTCTAAAAAATTGTTAGATATTTTCATCAAAAAAGCCTTCAACGCGTCTCCTGCGTTGTTTTTTAACAGCTTACCAAATTCAATAAAATTAAACCTATTTTCATCCAAAAAGGCTTAGACAGCGGGGCAAATGTTAAATAATTTAAGATTTAATTTTTTTTTTAGTTTTATCTAGCGATTTTATGTTTTGTTGTAGGTGAAAATAAAACAAAATAAATAAAGCTTTTTATTATCAATTTTAAAAACTACTTTTAACTCATTTTATCTTTGTTGGAGCTGCAACGCAATGTTTTCTCTTAAATGTATTCCTCTATTTCTGATTATAATTGGATCGATTTCAGGATGAAACTCTTGTACATTGTTCTCTCCAACAACAAATACCTCTCCTTCCCTCTCATAATTTTCTACATCGACCTCATTGTGAGCTAAACAAATATTATGCAATACACAACAGGCTATAATTGTTGCCGGAATTAAATCAGTTCTATTCATGTCCAAATAGCGAAGACGTCTGAACCTTCCAAATAGTAGAGCAAATGCTCGCTCTATAACTTGCCTTGTTTGAGCATGAGCTTTGTTAAAACGAACATTTAGCTCATTCATATTTCCTCTATCAATATATGGGCGCATGCACCAAGCTAAGATGGGATAGGCTTTGTCTCCAATAATAAATTGATTTTCTGCAAAAAACCTTTGAGGCTCTGCCATGGCTCTTGTGTAAATATCTGAATTTCTAAAAACTCTTATATCGCTAACAGAACTGGGATATCCAGTGAAACAGTCTGTGAATCTTCTATTGGAATCACATATTGCTTGAAGTGTAATACCATAAAAACATTTTCTGTTTATGTACACTTGAGGATTGTTAAATGGTGCTTTTATTGGCACGTATGTGCCATCAATAGCTCCTACAACACCCCTAATTCCTGCCAACTGAAAAAACTGATTTTCGATAGCTACTAGTTGTTCCCTTGATGGCCACTTGATTATATGAGGAGCAAGTTTGTTTAAAGCATATACTACCCTTAAAAACGAAACATGTAAACTTGCTTTCCCCATATTGAACCGATCGCCAACAGATCTACAATAAAAAATATTGTAAATGAAACCATCTAACAATATACAGCACAAACACATTTCGAAAATATTTCAACAATGTTACATTGAGTCATTTATAATGTTGTATAAATATTACGAAACATCCCAGAAACATTTATGATATGTGCCTGAATCCTAAAAATGTCACATAAATAAAATATTTCACAGTAATATTTCTGAAATAAAAATTTGAAATCTTTTAGAAATATTAACTGGTAATATTTCAGAAATGTATTCTTGTTTTTTTTCTAAAATATTATTACGACTAAAAAAAAAGACATTTAAAAATATACATGTTTATTTAAAATACACAATACTCAAACATTGATTCTTAAACAAATAAATAAGTGTTAAACAATATCTCATAAAATATAGAAGCGAATTGCTTCATTTCCACTAATTCCTTTAAAGGCACTAATCTGAAACTGGGTTTTTTTAAATAAATGCCTGAAGTAAAGAAACATTTACGATTATTACAATCTAATCATTAAGATCAATTAGCAATTTTATTTTTACCTAACTTATATAGGGATCAAAAACTTCATAAACTAAGATTCTACTCACTAGTGTGCTTTAGAGTCTACTTAGTTACACTACCGTTAACGTATATATATTTAACACTTAACGGCATTATATACTCCTGCTTTAATCTAACATCAGTAAACTATCTTAAAAGGCCTGGTTCTCTTGAGTCTTCTTATTAGATTGGCATTGTTGAGGAGCTGGATAATCTCAAGGTTTCCATGTTGGAGCAGTCGTTGTTGGTGACTACTGGAAAACTTTTGTATTGTATTTTCAACAGTCTCCACTTTAAGTCCCTATGAAGATCAGTATTGCGGCAGTACCAGGATGCATCGACGATGTTCCTTAATAGTTTATATTCTGGAAACGTTGATTAACTTGGATGTTACTTTTACTGGCACAGCTCCAAAGCTGGCAAATTGCTTCTTTTAAATGCACTAATCTGAAACAAATTATAGGTAATTAAAAGGGATTCATACAAATTTTTGATTAACAATAATTTTATTAATATTGTTTTAAATTAACTATAATAAAACAATACTTATGCCTAAACAAACATTATTTATGTAGTTCTCACCTCAATTTCTAAAAACATATTCTGTGTCTCATATAACAACAGCACAAGGCATAAATATATCAAAAACGGACAACTCAAATCTTCTTTAGGCTTGTTTCTAGCTGGACAAGGACATGAGACACACATATCACGTATGATACATGAATAATTAATTTTAATGATACGAAAAAACTACTTTCAAATCAGACATTCTTCATTAATTGTTGGCCTTTTACAATATAACCTGTTTAGTAACCTTTTGTGAAATATTTTCAGTGAAATATTTAACTAAAATATTTCAGAAACTTGTGCTTGAAATGTTATGTTTGAAACATTTTTGAAACACTTCTAAAATAATGTGTGCTGTATGAAGAGATACCAGATTATATTCTACCTACTTTTATATTACCTATAACTATCAGGAGTGGCTAAAAGCCATAGAGAACTTAATAATTGCTTTTGAGCATCAATATTTGGTCTGCCTATAACGTTATTACTTTCCAAATCTGGACGCACTATTTGCAAAACCCCTTCAAATGCTTGGCGTGAAACTCTAAAATGAGATTGAAACTCGGCATTTGAAGAGTTTCCAATACACCGTTCTATATATTGTGGCACTCGAACAGGTACTCTAAGGTTTAATCGAGACCTCTTTATGGCCCGAGAAAACAGCAATTGTACAACTTCATTTTCCTCATCTTCATCGTCACTTTCTGCCTGTTCGAAAAATAGTCTATAGTATGTTTGTACAGCTTGGATTACTGTATACATATAAGGAATCATAATTAACAATAAAATATTAATTATGTAAATAAAAACAATTTGCCAAGATAATACACGTAACACATATAAAACTCGAAATTCCCACTAACAAATAATGTTTGTTGTGCGCATGACACGTCCCAAACACCCTGCTTTTGAGAAGGACGTAAAGTTGTAACCAGGACGTAATTTATGAACGGTTGCAACTAAGATTTTGGTCGTGACGTCATTTCTTACCTAACTTTCTGAACGATTTCTGCAACGTCCAGTCGCGCCGTGCGAGGTTTCTAAACGCACTCCATTAGTTAGAATATTGTGACATTTGACATTTAGTTGTCTTGTGATTGTTGTAATTTTTAGCAATTTTTGTACGATTTTTAAAGTTTTTGTGAGTTTTGGAAAGTTATTTTGATCCCTAAAGACGTCCTAAAGACTTCTATAAACAATGGTTAAAACATGTTTAGTTTTATTCTGTCCAAACCGATGAAATAATTCCGAAGAACTTGTCATAAGTAAGTTTTTAACACCAATACAGACCCGTATTTAACAATTATTTTTGGATGAATCAATTAGGTATTTAATTATTGTTCTAGCCCAGTATCCATACTGGGGTTCTAATAAAAACCTTGTCTAGTTATATATAATTATTCGTTTTTATTTGTCTTTTAGGTTAGAAAAAAAAGGCTTAATGTAATGGAAGCTCCTATAAAGAAAATGTATGCCAAGGAAATATTTCAAAATCGTTCAAGCATTTCTTGTTTTGAATTTTAGTCAGTGATAAAACTGTGATTAAAAAGAATGCTACTCCTACTTTATTTTGGCCAAGTAATAAAAAAAAGAACATGTTCCAGAAGCTCATGAACATAAAATGTCACCAAAGGTTGCTAGGTAAGTTTTATTTCTATTTCATTTAAATATAGGTAATACCCTATATGCGTGCTAACACTATTTATAATGAAGCCTTCTTTTTTTTAGTAAACTTTTCAAACCATTTTTTAATAGAATTTTAAGCAGTTCTAATAGTGCTGGCTTTAGAAGATCTACCAAAAGAAATTATTGAAAACTAACCAAAATCATTCATTAATGTGTAAGTTACCATATTAAATGTGTTTCATAACCAGCATGTAGTTATAAATTATATTTATTAATTTTTATCTGTTTTAGGTTAGATAAAAAGTATTGGAAGATCACACAAAGAAAATTTTAAAATATGTTCGAAGCATTTTGAATTTTAGTCAGTGATAAAACTGTGATTAGAAGGAATGCTACTGCTACTTAATTTTTGCCAAGTAATCAAAAAGAGAACATGCTACAGAAGTTCATGCAAAGGAGGCTAGGTAGGTTTATTTATACTTCATTTAAACATAATGCCTATGCAGTCTATATTATACCACTGTTTTACAGAATTTTAAGCAATTTAGATAGTGGAGATGATCTCCCAATAGAAATTATTGAAAACGAAACAAAAGAATTCATTCTTATGTTTAAGTGACTTGATTGAATGTCATGTACTATTCGTTTCATATGCTTGCATTTGAATATGCACATTTTTTACCTCTGGAGCATTATTATTTGTTTGTTCACATCTACTACATCTGCGTTTGTTTATATTTTCTTTATTTAAAATGATATTTTGAGGATTGTCAAACTTGACATTTTTTGTTGTTGGATTCGTTCCATGCCAGGTTCAGTTACAGGTTTATCGATTTATCCTTTGTTTATGCTAGCCATATATGCTCATGAATATAAAAGTGATCATTTGTTTGATTTTTGTTAAGTTTTCAAATTTAGATTTTTTCTATAATATAGGTATCGCTAACCATCAGTATATTTTGAGGATTGTCAAACTTGACATTTTTTGTTGTTGGATTCGTTCCATGCCAGGTTCAGTTACAGGTTTATCGATTTATCCTTTGTTTATGCTAGCCATATATGCTCATGAAT